TTTCTAACCAGTTTCGACAGTGTCAGTTTCCTGACATATTTGCGTTTAGGCGTAAGTCTATATCTTTTGGAGACGTGTAGCGCAGTGGTAAGAGGTGTCATGACACCATGTACATCGCACTCCGTTCGTCCTCGCAACATGTGCTAACCAAATCATAATTCCGGGGTCGGTTTCATTGGTACCAGACTTGTCTTATAAAAGCGCTGATTTAATATCTCGATAGGTCGAGACATGTCGTTGCATAGGTAAAGCATGCATTCAATCACTACTACGATGCTAACAAAGAAGGGAATGCATGGCGCATTCTTAAGGAATTGATAAACGTCGAACTCTTTGTGTTTACATTGCAATAAGATATGAGCTCAGCTTGTCCCGATCCGACTCTTGATAATTCTTAAACATGATCTCACACAGACGGTAGTATAGCAGGGGCCGCCGGTCAAGATATGGATCTGTTCTACTTGGGTGGTAGAATGAGTGATAGAGTGGTGATAGTCAGTAGTAGTCGTAAAGAAGGTCAGTTCAGGGTTCAATTGACGATGAATATGATCACGTCAACGCATCACGACACATTGCTTTTTCTTGATCGGTTTCCACGCAGCTTTGCTTTGAAGATTGGAGTACTACTCAGTAAAGAGGTAAGTGTTCAAATCTACCACAAATAGGGACATTGTTTTAAGTCATAATAATGAAGGATGCTTACTTAGAAACCTAGATGATCTGTCTTCACATTTCATACGGGTCTGAGCACTTGCATCTGTCTCGCTACTTTTTAACCGCTATGTCCAAAGGTGTTTGAGCTCACATACGCCCTTGTCTGCATATTTGATTGGAACCCTGTTACCATCTCATTAATATGTGAATTCGATCGAGAGTGATTTCCCGTGAAAACCCGATGTATCAGAACGAATACGGTCTCAATTGGCCAAAAAGGGTATGTTATTTTCTTATAATCTAGTTTCTATGCAAACACCTAAGTAATTGCGCACTTTCATAACCCATCAATATTTTATTCAAAAAAACTTGAACATTATGATGAAGAGTCGTCTCCAGCACGATGGCATCTACCAGAATCGTTTCGTGATACCTGAATCGTTTCCAGCCGCTCGTCAGCGTCCACAACCATGTCCGTCTATTTTTTAGGTCGTAGTCCTAGAGGGTTCTTTCAATCGTTTGGTGTTTGTTCAAGTGTTCTTCTAGTTCACATGTCGATAACTCTTCTCAGTTTATGATCGCTCCGTCTAAATTTCGCTGACGATGTGCATACACCTGAAAATCTAGGATAGTTTAAACTTAATGAGTCTAAACTTCATAGTTCTGCTTAATATTAGTTCAATCGCTTAATGGGCTATTTGAATTATTGACGCGGTATAACTGTTAAAAAAGCATATAGTCAAAAAAAGTGAGCGTCAAGTTCCGTATGCCATCAGCTGATTGTTGGTTTCTCTCAGGTACTCGAAGGTGACTCGAGGCGACTGATACCTGCATTCTTTCGTGTGCGTAATTCTTTCATCTCGCTTTCCACATTGTGAATGCAACTAGACACGATTTGTTTAGATAGGAAACCACCCTTGTTACTCTTTTTTACTACTTTGCCTATTCACCATATATTTTTCACAAAGTAGGACTTTTTTCGATTTATTCGTAGTCCACTACTTCTCAAAGTACGCCATCTGCAAAACGAAAATATTGGACGTTTTTTTCCTGGCCTGGTAGGATTTCATGAAAAAACTGCTTTTTTGTTTAGCTACGTTTCGTTTCATTTCAACTACAGCCGCAGCTTAACTGGGTCCTATGCCGATTTGGGCGCCCCAGATCAATCCCGCTGACGGGTGATTGCTGTGGCAAAGTGGTGGTGAAGTGCGCTGCTCCCCGGTAAGGACAACGGCACGTGTTCGTTCTCCACCGCATACACCTGCGGTCCGGAGTTTTGCAAATATCCCAGCATTATATACAAGTTATATTTCGCAACGTAGGCCTCATAGTTCGTAGCTGCGATATTTCTGCTTCATACGTTACTGCTAGCGCTATAAGACAGTTTGGCACTGGAAATATTGAACACATCACAGTTACTTCCCGGAAAGGACAATAGTGCGTTCGTTCTCCACCATAGACACCTGCGGTCCAGAGTTTTGCAAACATCTCAGCAACGTTGTGGTTGTATTTCGCTTAGTACCCTGCCGCGAAATTATAGTAGGCAGAAAATAAAAAATGGTATAGCTACGTTTCGTTGTGATAGCAGTCGCACAGAGTTTCTATGTTAGATGGGGTGTAGTGTTTGGTTGACGAATGCTGGTAGTGCTGGCTTCACCGCTATCAAATGCTTTTCCTAGTCCATAAAAGCTAGGACAAAACTCACATGCAAATCACTACATTCTCTTATTAGCATAGCCACTGTTTGGAAGTGAACCACATAACTGAATAAGAGATATGGAGTAAACGGTTCAGCCCTTATCTATCTTTTAAGGATGCGCCATGCATCAGACTTCATTAAGAATCTTAAAACGTAGTAACTAAACATTTGACCTATAGAGTGATTGTAAGTACGACCAGGTATACTAAATCAGTGCTTCCACGCTTCCCAGTTAGCACTCGTAACACTTTTCCAACTCTAGACGGATAGGAGCTTGCCGACGAGTCAACAACCTTATATGTGTTGGGGAGCATCTCTAGCTATTGCGCTAAACTGATTAGTTTTTTGAGAAGAACAGCCATGCAGGATATCTTCCAATGGTCTGAGATTCTCTTCTTTTAAAGATGCGTTTTCTGGTGGGAAGCGAAAATAGCTTGTAGCTCGTAGCTTCTAGTTCGAACTATCTCTGCGGTTATGCCTTCTACTCCCCAAATAGTGCCCCTTGCTCTCGTAGCTGACTTAAAAGGAAAAGCTTTGGTGTAAACTCTGTTTCGCGTGGATTTAAGACTTTGCATGGGAATTGTTGAACGAGAAAAAAAACTGAGACAAGAACAGAAAGAAAATGAATTTACTCTCATGGCAGGAAATGGTGGAAATCTTTGTTGCGCCGAGATAATAGTGTTACGTCATATTCATCAAGTTCTCAAGGTGATGAGGTGACCTTCTTGGTTGAACAGCAGGGGTATTTGGTGCACCTCTGAGTCTTTTCATAAGCACCTCGTAATCTGCCTTCTTTGAACTCATCGTAACACACAGAGAGGATTCGTCCCGGGAAATTCTGGTCATACAAATTATTGTTCTAAATACTGGTTAAAAATCTCCAATTTAGTATTTTAAAGTTACACAACAATGTTCAGAAACCACAAGAAATGTTCTCAGAAAGTCGAGAATTTGTTTCTTCCATTTTGACTTGTATCCTCGTCGAATGCAAGGTATTGCCAGCAATAAGTAAACGGGTTAATTTGGACTACCTTGCAATAATTAGCTGGATATATTTAATATCCTTCCATAAAACTGAGCGGTATGAAGCGAGTAACTTACGAAACTTGTTAGAGTATCCAATGCTTGTGTTTGAGTTTTGCGCTACCTTGCCCCTAACGCTTAGCTGTAACATTCTTGTATGCGATTGGATCAAATGGAGACTCCGTAGGCTTATACTTAAAGAACTCGGTGAATAACGGGAATACGAGTGGTATTAGTGATTTAATTGCAAGTTGAAACCATTCATAGTGAACAATGAAAAATTAGTCAAGGTAGTCGCAAAATCAATGAGTATTCTCATCCCCTGCTCAGGAATTCCATATGATTTCCAACGTCTTCGCCTATAGAATTCAATTTAACGTCGTTTAGCAACTGGTAAGTTCTGAGAACAGCTGACGGCGCGGCGCCGCGTCAAAGGGTTCTGAAGTTCCACCGCCACCGCTGTTGAACGAAGCCAGTGCTATGCCAACAAGACCACCGACCTCGTTCCGACCAAAGTGGATTCGTTCACATTGCGAAATTGTGACGCGGCGCACTCAATAGTAAACTCAATAGTAAACTTCACACTCACTCAACAAAGTACGAGTTCTGAATCCTCATCTTCATGGAGCAATAGATCCGTTTGTCTTATTAGTCCTAGTAAAATAATAGCCTTATTACCAATTACCGACTTCTAACTGCAACTAGTTTCTTTCACTTATGTACAGATCAATTTTTTGCAACTCCTGTTTTTCACGGCTACGGCAATTCCGATGTTTTTATCTTTTAGAGAAACCGTTGTTAACTTACGTTATTACCTTCCCTGGACAGCAATTTTTAAAGAGGTAAACGAAACAGGTCAGATTCTGATTCTGATTCTAACTCTCATTATTAAGAAGAGACTTGGTACTGTTTCTACGTACTTTTATGATTTATTGAAGTGTTTTGAGTAGATTTACAGCATTCATATTATTCCAGTGAAAAGCTTGAAAGTTCTATTCGACAAAGTGCCTTTTCTAGACATGCAAATTTCTTGTGCACAAGAAATGAACTGCTACAATTAAGTACGTATTTTTGAACGGAATAAATATTATCACATTTCAATAATATGTAAATTTTGAAAATATCAGGACGGAGTGGAAACAACAAGTTATCCGGAATTATTCAAAACAAAGGCGATTATAGGAAACGAGAAATGGAGACAATCTTTAATAAATAATTATGGTAACCAGTAATCAAACGACCAAAACTTTATCACAAATACGCAAACACCCCCAAAATTAACGAACGTTAAAGATGCCACCTAATATCGGTGTGGACAGTGATTGAGCGTGAACAGATGATGACATTCGGTCCGAACGAGCCCAAAAGAATATAACGAAAACAGCTCCCTCGGTGGCATAGTATAATGAACGGAGAATTATCATTTTCCTATTGTTCTCTCTTAAAACCCTAAAACTCTTAAAACCAACGCAAAAGGTGCCAAATGAGTTGGTGCACATAGGCTTTTCTTGTAAATGGAGCAGTAAAAAAGCAATGAAAATCAAAAAGAGACAGTACTGTAACTTCAGCCAACGTATAACCTCGATATTTTCCTTTATTGGTGCGTATTCCGACCTACTAGTAGTCAATCCTCGTCGTCCAAATTCAAATCATCTAAATTTATGTCGTTACCGCCATCATCGGTATCCCCAAAATCGTCATCTGACCACCGCACTTCACCCGCATCCACGACAACCTAAATTGTGATGTTCTCTAAACAGAATCAGCAAAACACTAACTCAAAGGTGCAAGTATACTTTGTCAACGAAAATGTATTTACCGTTTCCAGTTACGTGAAGGAATTCACAAAAAGGACGACATCGGGACTAAACACTCTTGTCAAAAAAGTTGAAAAGTGTAGCTTGACTGCTATGCTACACAGGCACCATCACATTAGCAAGTTCACCAAGCTTCATTTATCATACCTCTTTCTAAGTACGGACAAGAGCAGACTGATGCTATGAAACATCGCCTCGTTGTGACAAACCTACTACAACTACAATGTCGCAAAAGAACAACCTTGTAAGCCTACCTCGGAACTCCAGGGAAAAAATAAGTGGCAATAAACCATTTTTTGCAACCTACACTAGGCGCCCTCGTATAAACAACGTCGTATGGCGAGATACCCATTTAAGGGTAGCTGAATATCGGCTTACACGAGTAGGGAAATTTAAAACAAGATACCCATGTGGTAACGAAGATAGCCAATCCATGCGTCGAGTCAGTGCTGCTATTCTCCAGGAAGTATATATGTATGTGCATACATAAATATATATATTTATATGTAAATTCACCAGGAAGCTTGGTGAGCCTGGATTGCCGGTTCGAACCCATGTGTATTGCAGGGCGCCTCCAACCATTACGCTACAAGAGCCCCTTATATTTTGCACTTCATGCATGTATATATATATATGTATTTGCATACATAAATATATATTTATATGTAAATTTCCAAAGGGATTGGAAACTGTCACTATGCACCTCTGGCTGAGGTGTGTGCTGGGGAAGTAAATCTGGCCCGCCATGATGAGGGACAACATCTGGCCGAGGTCGTTCACTAACGACATCCGGTTCGGCAGCAAAAGCAACTGCAGCTACTGCTTCACGAGAAAGACCATCGCTATCGTCATCAGAAAGCTGAAATTAATGCTGATTAAGACGACTAAGGGTTTGAAATGGGTGAAACTACTGTAAACACCTAACCTGAATCCCATTTTCACTTCCTTGCTCAGGAGTTGGCTCCTTTAGAGCTGGAGTATGTGAAACATTAGGAACAACACTGACTGACTCAGCTACAGTAGGAGGATGTTTCAGCACAGAATTAGGAACCTTATCGCTAGTGTCGCTAAGTGGTGGAGTTTTCCGTGGCACTCCACGAAGATGAGCTTGACCAGCTTCATCGAAAGTTACAGCACCTGTGCAAGTATTACATTTCGCATGAAGTAAATTAGCGAGACAAAAGACCTTACCAGTGCTCAATGCGGTCTTCAACTCGTCCATAACATTTCTTCGTTGATTCGTTGGTGCTTGAATTGAAGCCGGCATAGAGAGCTTGGACAGTTCTCGTAGATAAGATTCAGCTTTTTTAGATTCTGACCATTCTGGGAACAAGTTCTCGTAGCGAACAGGATCAGCAAGTGATTCGCCGATCCTCTCAAAATAAATACTTTAGATGAGACATATACATACATACCTTCATAGAATATTAGAAAACATCGCAACACTTACTCGTGACGTGTTCTTTTGGAGACGATCAGCTTTCTCCTTCCAAAGACTCATCACCCGCTGCAACTGTGACGGGCAGTGAGTACGGACAAAAAACGCAGCCTCGGGAATACGATCCGTACTAAATTTTTTTTTGGAAGCTTCGCAAGGTAAACTGCGATTGTATGCATTACGATTTACAGTCCTCTAGTAAAGAACTGCATTTGCAAACCTTAGAATTCATATATACCCTTTTATTCTATCTGGAAAAGAAGTCAAACCTAATGAGAGCTTCGATACAAGCGTCTACATCTCCAAGTAAGAGGCTTGTCGTGAAATGCACGTTATGTTGCCCATCCATGGCAGAATTTGCTGCCAGCTGAAATTAAATCTCTTTTGATAGACGCTGCTTACAATTAAACTCAATTCCAACTAAAAAGTAGAACTGTAAGCATGAGTGGTTCTATGTTCACTAACAAATATAAGTGAATATCAGATCTCAACAGTTCTCCGACAGTCTATAGATATTGTGGACAGTAATATTTCGAAACCGACTTTCCTTGAACCTCGGTATCACTTATAAATATGTATTCTTTCTTTGATGAGCTTACACGAGGTTGATAATGATATTTATTTTCGGCTAACGTTTCGACGTCTTCGTCTTCCTCAGAGCCGACGATCCGAGTCGATGGTCCATGCTTGTTATTCGTCTCGATGTGGCAACTTCGCCTTCGTGTCGAATCAGATCTTCCTTAGCGAGCCATCTTCTCGAATGAGGCATCCTCACTCAGTGATGCCCTTTTATACACGATGCTGATGGTGGATATAATGCAGGACAGGAGGCAAAGCACGGACATCGGTTGGTGTGTGGAATAGCATGTGATTCCCTGATAAGGGTAACTATAGGTTTGAAGTCTACCTGAGGTTAAGAGTCTTGCTTATATCTCAGCACTCTCTGTGTAATATAGACAAACTGAATAAACGAAAATTATAACAGTTATCAAAAATTGTGTATGAGAAAGCCAGAAAGTCAAATTATCTGAATCGCGGAATGGACGTAAAAACCTTAGTAAGAAGTGGAGCAGATCCTGCACAAGTTGCAAGTAATAACAGTCCACCATAGTCCTTTGCACGACCAAGACATTCTCCAGCTAGCATTAGTTCAGATTTTAGCGTAGCAGCCTATGTTGTGTTGGATAATTTCACCAAATTCGCCATAAATAATGTGAAGTCCATATAAGAATTAAAATACCGCAGTAGATTAATGAAGCACCTGACTAAGCATCCTCCACTTTTCCTCACTGTCGCTATGAATAGCCAAATCATATGCAGTCTTGAGGTCTCCAAGGGCCAAAGCAAGATCAAATCTAAACGTTCACTGATAGGAGTTGTCAGTTGCAAAAACTAGTGCGCACAGATCGCTAATGATTAACATTGTCAGACACAAAAGAGAATTTCGAACAATGATGGGGTTACAGAGATGGTCCAATCCATAACGAAGTCGACATAATTTCTAATAAAAATAAGCACCTAAATGGCATTTAAAAGATTTAACAAAAGAAAACACGAATTTTCGAAACAGGCAGTCACTCACTTGTGGTCGGGGTCTTGTGAAACAGCGAGAGCTTGTCTCTTAAATCCTTGCTTTTCAAGAAAGTGAGCCACACGTGTACGCTGTTCCTTGGGAATCGTTGTCAAGACCTGCAAAATGCATGTCATCGACAACGCAGCTGAATCCCGAAAAGTTCTCACTCTATGGAAACATAAAGTATTTCACCATAACAATAATCTTATAACTTCATCATACCTTATCAGCGGTCTCAAAATCTCTTCTCATAACCGCCGTCTGATATTCTAGCACACATAGCAGAAGCTTGTATGAAACCACATTCAATTCTTTGTCCACAGCATAAACACGTGATTCCTTTGCCATATAACCAAGCTAAAGTTTGATATCAGTTATAACACGATGTTTTCTGATGGTGCTTGATAAAAGACTAAACGACTTAAACTGAAAATACGCATTTCTTACCAGATAGAGAGGTCTATCCATGTGAGCGATTGTCACAATTTCACCGCCAACATAATAATTAAGCCTATTTAAGGAAGTAGTGAAAATAAAACAGTCTCCGATCCAGAATGCAGTTTTAACCCCTTCACTCTGCTCACCTAAAAACAAAATATACTGCGAAATCTGCAACAAAGCTTAGATGGATCGTATTATATGGATTGATCATCTTGTTTTCAAAGATGGACATTTTCTCGAGTAGTGCGAAAGATTTAGATTAAATGATTGTGTAATTACGAAATTATCGACTAACCAATTACTTCAAAGGTATCTTCCACACCATCATCGGTAATCTCGTCAGAAGTAGCGTTCGCAAATGCTTCTGTGTTATATTTGAGAATGTAGAAGGACTCCTCACCGCAAATAGCGACCTTTATAAAAAGTAGACCAAACTACTATTTCTGATAAAACAGCTGTCAGAGTAAGAGCAGTACTTATAGCACTTATACATATTCGCGAAGATATTGGCTCTCTAATAACTAAAGCACTTAAGAACCAGAGGGATTGAAAAACAGAAAACATACGGAATCATCATTATCATTAATCACTATCAGTATACTATTTGCACAAAATACTATTTGTACTTTTGTTTTTTATTTTACCCCATTTTATATGGCCCATCTTCACGTCTACTGTGCGGATCCTACCACTTCTTACACTCGATTCTTTTCCTCAAATCCATCATTCACGAAGGCGTTCCAACTTTTACGTGTACCTTCGACTGTTGCTTCAGAATTTCCGATCGATTTTGAATGTAGTGGAATGCTGATAGAGTTGATTCGACTATCTCTGCAGTCATGAAATTGCCGGGCTAGAGTATTCCCAAATACATTGCAGTGATTTTTTTCCCGGACAAGTCCGGTACCATTTTCACGACAACAGAGGGATAAGAGGCTTGGTGAGCCAGGGGCGGAATCGGATCAGCACCGTGCTTGTGATGACCGGTATCATTGCCACTGTGCTATCTGCCCCTATTTGTACTTCAAATTGTTCAAGGTAAAGCTTTCGAAGAATTCAGATTTTCAAGAATTTTAACCAGGTTTACCGAACAAAGACGCGCTCTTTTAGCCTTTTTGCTACCCAAAATGCGAAACATCCCTAGTAAAAAAAAAGATTTGGAGGCTCCAGCATCCAGAATTTCATCGTGATTGAATAGAAAAACCTACAATTTGATTGCAAAGGTTGGCGTATTATAATACTTCCTATTCTAAACAATTAAGTCCGTTATGAACTAAGATATATCTCTCAACGTTGAAACATAAAACTATTTTCGACCTATAGTATTAATAAATGGCATATCGACGTGAATGAGCCAAACATCACATAAAAGTCGACCAACCATTTCTGCGCTGTCACTCCAGTACACATGCTTTGCAGCAATTTCAATTCGGCGCACCAATTGTGCCGTCTCCCAGTCGTAGAAACAAAGAGAAGAAGGTGAACGAGCAGCAAGAAGTGGTCCTCCTTCGATACCTTCTAAGACAGTATCGGTTCGAATTTGTTTATAGTCCTAAACAGATACTAAATCATGTATGACAACAAAAAGTGCTATCTTTTCACCTTAAAATTTTTCTTGATTTTTACAGAAGTGGCTGACTCACGAATAGCAAACATATTGGGATCAGAAGCCCAGACGAATTCCAATGCCTAAAAATGAGAGATGAGAAATGATTACGGTTTGATTCAAACTATATTTGTTCTATAGTGGACTCCGAAATGAACAACACCTTACAACTAATGTTTTTGCGCAACTTTTCCTAACCAACGTTAAAGCTCCTTTTGTTCCACTAAATTTATTGACTTTTTAACTTTTTAAACACATTCGGGATGTCTAATTTTGCTTCGGTGCCGCATGCAAAGACGCTCAATTTCTGCAGCTATAGACATGCAGGTTTTTCAAAAACTAACCAACTTGGAAATTGAGAGAACACCAAAACTATAGAAGAAATTTCGCTTTCTCCCTCTAAGGACATGAGTGGTATGTATTATGCATCACACCACTTAATATACGGCATATATTAAACTACGGTCCAACTCGCAAACACAGTGCTACCAGCGCTACGAACTGTGTTACAGTTTACAATAAGTCTACTTCTCCACCTTTTTATCCGCAAATGCTATGCAACAAATAGGGTTTACCACAGTAAAAAGCAGTAAAATAACAGTCAACTGCTTGTCAAATTACCGGTCACTGCTCTCGTCGAAGAAAAGGTTTTCTGCACACTTCTACTTCAGAACAGAGCTTCTCTGGGGAGATCGGAAAGGAAAGAAACCTCTAAAGAGGTCATATCGACTAAGATGTCCCCATAATTTTGACTGCTACAAAAGTGATAAAATAACAAAAGGATAAAGCTCTCGGAGCTGATCAATCCTTGACGGATGTGCCATGCATTCGACTTCATTAAGCAACGTTTGAAAGTGAACGAATGCACCATTGGCCTTTACAATGACTCGCAGGGGCCTACCGATGCATTGAGGCGGTGCTGCTATCCTCCCAGACAAGTCTGGTACCAATTCGCCGACCCCGGAAGGATGGAAGGCTTGGTGGGCCATGGGCGCGGGGATCGATTCCACGTGTGTTGCAGGGTACCCCGACCACAGCTCCACAAGCGCCCTACAGGGGTGATGTCGTCGCTAATGTGTCAACATTGTACGAGATCTTTACCACCTGTCGTCTCGATGACCGTCGAGTGACTCTACGGGGCGTCAGTAAGCCTTCAATTTCTTCCTGTCGCAAGCAAGAACAGTCCAGTGCGTTCTGCTGGGACTAAGGAACCACTGAGCATCGTATCTTTCTTCCAGGGCTCTTGTAAAGAACTCTGACCAAGTTGGTGGTCTTCCCGTTATGCGAATGACACCTTGAGGAATCTACTCGCTCGCTAACAGCTCTTGCCCATCGGTTGTCGCCTAGAACCACTACCGTCCGGCCGGCCCATCTTAGTTTCGATAGCTTGGCATATATAAGAGCATCTTCGATTTTTGATCGTTGACGCAGATTGGAGCTCCAAATACGCGATACCTCTAGCATCCTCGTTCCGACTCTCGTTTCATAATGATGAGTGATCTCGCATTCTGATTAGATAGCGAGCAGCTTTCTGAGCGATACCTTAAGGCAAAGAGAATCGTGAAGTCGAAAAAGTTGGTACGGAGCTCGGTGCTTTTTGTTATCCTCACCACCTCCTCGATGCTCGTAAAAGCTCCCTAAGCCATTCGCTTCGTCTTGCTCATATGTGGAGCTAATTCGTTGCCATGCTGTTCGCAGATAATCATTCCGTTGAGTGTGAATGGAGCATACGGGAACAATTTTTTTCCTCATGAACATTTTTGTGAGATCCAGTTGAAGACCAATTTTCCCATATGCGTTATGAAATTCGGCAAGCATTCGTTATACCATACTAGTGCCTGATGATATAAAAACGATATCATCATCAAAGAGAAGACGGAGTAATTGCCGACCATCGATTTTCACGTTCCCAAGAGCCCACTAATGGACTGAATAAATCCTAGTTTACGGTTTTAGGATCTCGTTTTTTGAACGTAGCGTCTTCCTCTCTTTTCGGCGAAGAACGGAATGATGCGCGAGCTAGGCGATCGCCTGATCCAACTTCGAACTTTGAGACAACAGTGAAATCAATACCTTCCCTGATTATTAACCAAAGAAGAGGCTGATAAAAAGATCTATTCGGTCAACGCTTCTGCTTCTCCGTGTTCCTCAGAGCCGAACTGATTCCGACCATCAACAGCTGGTCGTTGTCACGACGTAGTTGTGCATTGCCTCATTGAGTCGAATTCAGTAGAAGGAACACCGCTCGAATGGTTAACTTCACTTAGTGGTGCACTTTTATGTAGGATGGGTGTTGAACAACTCCCACCTTCAATAAATCTACTTTCGGCGTGTAATGTTCAATTTAGTAACTAATATTTATTGAAAACTATTGATTCGCTACGTGCTAGCTAAAATGATACCGACTACTGCAGAATGCACTGCCCACCCAAAGTGGATCATATTGGTGGAAATCGATAAACACCCGCCGTGTATAAAAGGACGCCTCTGGGAAGTTAGCCTTCTGAGCGGTGCTTCCTCCACTGGGTTCGACTCGATGCGACACCGAACAAAACATCACTGCACTGTGGACCACCGACTCTAATCACTCCTTACTAAGCCTCGTGTTTGCTTAATAATCGAAGAAGGTATTGGTCATTTTCGGCGAGGTTTAATGAAAGCTGTTTTGAAAACAGCAGAATCGGCTAGGCAAAACTTCGATTCTTACTATGACATGGTCTATTTCGTTATGTCACCCTCCAGTAGCTGGGGACTACTACGTCCAGCATTGAGAATAGGGGTTCTATGAGTTAGCATGAATGTATCGGTCGTTATGATAAGCTCAGACAGCTGCTCATACTGCTCGTTGCAATCTAATCATTGGGTAGGAATATGGCGTTCTCCAGACTTTCTTCTGGATCCAATTTTTGTTTTAAACCTCCATTGAGGACCATAAAGAATGTGTGGTCTTCTCTGTAGAACTTCTCCAAGTCCATGTAGAACGCTTCGACTTCGTCTACGTCATAGCTTGACGTCGGCGCGTAAACAACGAAGATTGTCAAAGCCGGAATTGATCCACGTCTTCTTAATCGTAAACATCCGATTCGGGTTGTGAGTTGTTCGAATGAATTGATGTTCATGACGAGATTCGTGTTGACGAGAACGCCGACTCCTCTAATGCCGCATGTTCCGAGGAACAATTCTTCTCCGGTGTCGTAAACGGCTTTGAAAGGCTGGCGTCTTCTCGTTTCGGCCAGGTCGTACCTTATCCTTCTTGCTTGCATGAGCAAGCCTTCTATCGAGGACTCGGATGCAAGTGTGCGTGCATTGTAGGCATAGATAGTCGCCTTAGTCTTTCGGGATTTAGGCAACCTAGAATGAACCAATTTTAGCAGCCCCTCTGTACTCGTAATACCCAACGCCGCCGTATCGGAGGCTCCTCCGGAGTCGGGGAAATGAGGCCCAGTTACAACCACAACGTTGCTGAGATATTTGCAAAACTCTGGACCGCAGGTGTCTATGGTGGGGAACGAACGCGCTATTATCCTTTCCGGGGAGTAACGCGTTCACCACCACACCATGCGGGTCCTTTGTTTCGCACGTCTCTCAGCTATTTCTATCGATCTTTTTGCCACAGCAATCACCTTGCCCAGTTACTTTACTGTGTTTAGCACCTAAAACCACCAATACCTTGCTGACTTCTGAACTCTGAACATGCATGCTTTTGGCTGAATTGACTAGTACAATACAATCTGCATGAACTAGAACACACCCACGCACGAATGGATATGCTTTCGCAAACAGAAGGTATGTGTCAAATCAGTGTAGCAGAGTTAGGTATCCATCCATCCATCCATCCGTAGATTCACCTTCTTGTCGTGGAAGCATACGGTTTATCTATAGTTATTAATGCACCAATTTCCGGAGGTTATCAGATTCAAGAACAAGTGCAGCATATACACACATATGTACCCAATATTCATGTGTATATATAAGACGATATTTGATTTAATAATCACACTGATCCAATTGCATTACTATGAATATTAAATCTGCTACTCTTTCGCTGATACAATACTAGATTAAAGTGGAGTAACATCGAATCATTTAGATGTACACACAATACCACGTAAGTAAATATGAACACCGAACCTGTCCAAAATCCTTGTTACGGAGGGCCATCGCAGTATAAACTATATACTCTCCATCTCCACAGGCAACGACGAAACGTCCATTGGAAGAGTGGGAAAGTGTTTGAGGATAGATTTCGCAAGCTCCCAAATCTTTGACTGAGAGAGGTAACCGCTCTCCATCTGAACGGTTTCTGCTGAGCTAAAGGATATTATGTCAACAGGTCACTAGAAAAAGCCTTTACCTTGGATGGCTTCAGAAGCTTCAGCATCAAGAGTTTTGAGGTTTGCTTGCTGAATCTCGGAATGACGTGCCCACAAAATTTTTCCTGATTGATCCATACTGACCTACAGATGCTAGATTTAACGAAAACCTTACTATTATGCATGAGAAGATACATAGCATGCTATAGGCATCTTAGGCTCCTGAGACAACTTACAGCAGGTTCTTCTCGTCCTAACTTTAGTGTGACTGACCCTTCATCATAACCAATGGCGACTGTGTTTGATCCACGTTGGGCTTGTATGCACCAAACACGCTCTAGTCCATAGTTAAGAGTACTCTCCAATCTAAAATCCTCAAACAGAAGATTGCTTTAGATAGACAAGAATAAGCTTGCTCTTATAAACAACTGACGGAGGAGCTCAAGAATAACTGCTCGGCTATCAATTTTCCAAAAACAGAGATTAGAAGTTCTACACCACAAATTTTATGAACAAAAAAAAAGATAACTTCAATGATGCTGAGATAATCGCAAAACTCCGGACCGCAGGTGCCTGCGGTGGTTGATGTCAAAAGATCGATAGAACTAGCTGAGAAACAGGCGAAACGAAGGACCCACATGGTGTGGTGGTGAACACGTTACTCCCTGGAAAGAACAATAGCGCGTTCGTTCCCCACCGCAGACACCTGCGGTCCGGAGTTTTGCAAATATCTTAGCAATCTTGTGGTTGTATTTCGCTTAGTACCCTGCCATAAAAAATATAGAAGGCAGAAAATAAAAAGTAAACGTTGTGAATTCAACTGTAGTCTCAGCTTAACTGGGTTCAATGCCTATGTGGGCTCCCCAGATCAATCCCGTTCACGGGTGATTGCTGAAAGCACTGGTTGATAAAAAAATATTTCGACCTGTAAACCGGTTTCACCACAAAATTATATGGAAACAAACGCTTACTATTACCTATATGTGTTCGCATGCCACAGGCGCACTGTAGAATCTTCACTACCTGTAAAATCACAGGTCCAGGTAAGATTTTGTAGACAGTCATGAAAGAAAAATACATATAATTTTATATCAGCGCACCAGTGATGATGAGGGGGAGTTCAGGATGAAAGCATACAGATGAGACATTTTGTGCGTGCCCATCTAGAGTTTGGACACAAGTTTTATTCTGAAAAAAAAAGCAGTGAAATACCATCTCTAACACTTTCACAGTCCTGAGTCCGAACAGGAAACCTCACCTGATAATCCCAAATCTTTACAAGGTGATCGTCTGCTCCAGAGATTAAATATGGCTTATCACCTCCATGGTAGTAATCGACACAATTTACCTATACAAGTAATAGCAACAACAGGTATAAAAGTGTTCAGAAACTGTGACTAGTACTACCCACTCCTTTCTCGTGTCCTTCTAAGGTAAAATTCGGCTGCTGACTTCCAAACTGCCACACCTGCAAAAAACAAAAGTGACATTCTCAAATGACTGCCACTTATTTTACAAATTCATCCTACCTTTACGGTCCTATCAAGTGATGCTGTGGCGAATGTGTTGTTATCCTTTGGATTAATAGCAACTTGCATGACATAATGTGTGTGTCCTACAAAAGAACTTCTCTTGATATAGCAGGTAGTGAACGTACGATTTTTCAAAGACAAAGTACATGTTGGACAAGACGTTGAATCGCGCTGGACCTACCTTCGAAACTTTGCTTCATCTGCCATTTATTGTCCCAGTCCCAAAGCTTTATCATCATATCGTCACTTGCTGTGATAATGAACGATTGCGTTGGATGGATTACGATAGATCTAAATAGTTGGTAATAAAACAATAACAACAGCAAACCAATGTACGAGCTTGTTCAAACGAAAAGCTATAAAGCAGTAGAAAAAATGTGTATAAGCAAGACTTCTCGCCTGAGGTAGTCAGAATGGGCCTCAAATTGATGAACTCGCTCAAGCGTGTTGTAATTAAAAACTCGAACATGCATGTCATCAGATCCTGTCACTACCCAACTTTTCCGAGGGATGAACTTAGCTGCACGCACCGGCAAGTCGCAAACCTGAAAAAGAAACAGTTCCTTCCCTGAATTAAATCTTTTCTTCACATCAACAGGAATTCTTCATTTCTGCACTGGCACCATACCTGACAAAACAGATTCGCCACTATTTCAAAAGTGAAAGTGTTAGGAGCGTCTGTTACACAACAATTTTAAGAAGTTTAATTGGTAGGGTTTTCGCTTTCGTTCGCGAATTAAGTTTTCATTATTAACAGAGAATATTGACTGAATAAAAAAGTATGGTTATAGTTTACGTCCAGGCCTTGAGTAAAGCGAATTCAGTGAACTACAACTGAAGAAAAAGTGATAACAACTCCGCCTTAGCTCAACAAACGGAAAGGTGCTAAGAATAAAAAAAATGAATAATGCTCTCGGCGTTGATCAATCCGTGAGGGATTCGCCAAGTATCGACTTTATTAAGCATCGTTGGAGGTGAGTGAATGCATATCTGGTCTTTACAATGACTCCCGGTGGCCTACCGATGTATCGAACCAGTGCTGCTATCCACCCAAACAAGCCTGGCACCAATTTACTGACCTCGGTGAGATTGGTGAGTCTGGGACGCGGAATCGATCCCGTGTGCATTGTAAGACGTACCAATGTGCTAAGATATAATTTAATTATTAATGCTGAGGTTTGCTCATATTCGGACTTTCGAACTATTAGTCAACAACTGTAAGGCAAGATTTTCTAACGATTTACACTCAGGAACTAATCGATACACACAAAGAGCAGTAAGCTAGGGGTTTCCAGTGCAGAAAAGGTTTAGTATACGTAATTAGCAACTTTTCAGGTAATCAATATAAATTCTTGAGTAAAGAAATAAGCCAACCGAATGCTTCACTCACTTCGAATGACTTAACAAGCTGTTGGTTCTCATAATTCCAGATATGTACATTACCATTATAGAGGGCAGCAAGAAGCCATGGTTCAGACGGATGTAGATCCACGCATTTAACACGGTCCGAACGAGCCAAAAGTTTTCTTTTCACGTCTAATCGCAAAGGCATCCCTTAAAGAGACAAAGTTAGAACACCGCACCTTGAAATTACACAGATGGAAGATAGAAAAAGAACACTTAGAAGCCCCATTTAGGATAAAATCAACATCATAAGAAACAAAAACAAGGCCGTAACTCGAACATAAAAACCTCCTGGTTGTCATATAACAAAAAAAGCCCAGGATTTTCATGGAAACCAACGACCGTGCGATATGTGATAACCGTGTAATAAGTAGCCCTAATGATTAATGTAGTCATATTTTAGAAACTTAACGGCCGCAGTCATTCTCAAGATATTTAAGCCTTTTTTGGAAGTAAAAAGTCAGATTAATACTGGTAATGAGATCTGAAGAACAAGTTCCACTTCAAAGAGATAAAGCCGAATTCGTTGGCCAACAAGATGTCTGCATCTACGCAAGCGTGGCAGCCCAAATTTTCAGACTTCTCCGACTACCGTATTGCTTCCTTATTAAACAAACCCTGTGAGTTCGGCTGCTTTTTGACAACCTTCAATGAATTTTTCGACAACTGGAGAACTGAGTGGGTTGATGAATCGATAATTTTATAGAAAAGGGTTTATCTAATCGCTAGAGGCACACGAATACTTTTTCCGGAAGTCTCCAATTAATATCTGTTTAGAACTGAAATTCATGAAAAAATGAAAGCGAAATCTGCATTGCAAAAAATATTATAGGAAGCATGGTGGCTGGAAACATCACGACACACTAGGAACGGTATCCGCTTTTGTTTTAGGAAGTGCCGACAAAATGAAAAGATTAAGATTCGTCGACTTCAAAAACTCGGATTTCTATCCCAGTAATACGAAAGAACATATAACTTGTAAGTGGAGATTTGTAATTTCGAATGGTTTTATCCTATCGATCTCTGCCAAGCTGAGAGACAGGCGAAACGAAGGACGCGCATGGTGTGGTGGTGAACGCGTTGCTCCCCGGAAAGGACGATAGTGCGCGTTCGTTCCCCACCGCAGACACCTCCGGTCCGGAGTTTTGCACTTATGTTCTGGTTAACAAAATTCTCTATTTGATGAAACATAACCGTTTACAGTTGAAGAACGCAATTATTTTTAGCCACCTGCGACGTATACAATGCACATCGTCTGTTCGGTGCTGAATTCGAAGCAATATCCAGTGGATTAAAGTGTATTACACAGAATAGAAAATGGTTTATCAGCACTTCCTGATTTAGAACACAGCGATTGCAGAATGTCGGGGTACGATGTGCAGCGAGGGAATTCAGTGCCCAGTAGGGTCTCCCAATCTATCTGGAAGCCCAGCTAATAGTAAACCAGTACCCGGATCCACCACCGTCTTGGTATCAAACTAGTCACAGGTGGTAAATCATCTTCTGATCCACAAGGGCGGCGACTAGTTGTAGTGATTACGACCTGGGGCAGACTTTGGCCAGGCTGACCTCGGCATTCCAAGGAACCACAATGGCTTGCCCAGCAAAACTCTGAAAGTGGAGACTAAGCTGGGACCCGCACAACCTGTGAGGACAGGCCATCCAAGTGTCTAAATTCACATTTCTAGAATTTCACATGTACGGTTCCGAAGTTGAAGAACGTAGTTCACTTTTAGAGGTTCCAACTTTATCTCAGAGCTTCCAGCCTTAGGACAATGATATTTTTCTGGATTTCGAGTTAGATTTTTCTGACTTTTTTCTTATTTGTTCGTCGGCAGTTTTCCTACTGATAGACTGCAATTTCAGCTTCTTCTATTTAATTTTGCATTCGTAATCCGGTAGATCACGAATTTCGTCCAACGTTTTGACAACATGGAAAGCTAAGAAAACTGTTCCCTGAGCCTGGAAATTTGTGTTCGTCAAATTAATTCCCAATAAAGGCGAGTGCGTCCATTGCGATTTAGCACATTTTACCCCTTGTCAATTTTCATTCCATTTTCTTCTCCAGAATGGTAAAGCAACAGGATGTTAAAGTGCAATGTTATCAATGAGTAATTACAACAAAAATGCAGCAACAGAGTTCTTCTTTCAAGGTAGTCCACTTCTTGGTGGACGCTGTGATGTCCTTTAACGTAATTGACAAGCGTCAAGAGGAGCTGGTGATACTTCTAGCAGAATTCTGCGTTCCCATTTCGTGATTCTGTTTGTTCAAATGTTTCACTTTCGCCTACATCTTAGAAAAGTGCAAATAATTTGTGGATTATATCTCAGAAAAAATATCTGGCCCTGAAACTATACCGTTCTTCGTGTTCTAGCAAATGGAAACTCGAACTTTATTCAAAATGAAGACAACGAATGGGTTTTCTTGAGTGAAGCATGACATGGGAGTTATAAAAGAGGGAGATTTTAGAATAATTTCTCCATTGATTCCAATATGGGTTATCGCACATGGTTACCCGAGAACGGGTATGGATACCTCCCAATGGTTTACCGCCTCAACGTGGCTGGGAGCTGTTCCTGGGTGTCGGACTGCGATGTACAGCGGGGGGATTCGTCCCCCCGGCAGGGTCTTCCAAGCTGAGAAGGAGTCCGTCATTTCCATCAGGAAGCCTAGGTAAGAGTAAACCAATACCAAGAACCACCACCGTCCTAGTATCAAAGTCGTATGGTGGCAAATCTCCCTCTGATTCACAAGGGCTGCGACTGTCTGTCGTGGTGACGAACTGAGGCAGGCTTTGGCCAGGCTGTCCTCGGGATTCCAGGAAACCACAATGGCTTAATAAGCAAATCTCTAAAAAAAGGTGATTATGCTGGAGCCCAGACACTCAGTGTGGACGGGCCGTTGAAGTATCATGTATCAACTAAGCAATATGGTGGATTATGATGTAAACCTCGCTCTCACTCAGGTCTATAGACAGACCGAGAAAAATCGGAGAAAAAACGTCTGCTAAAATACAACCACATTCGAAAATTCCATGCATCGCTAGCTCGACCCCTGTCCAAGTAAGAATGTAGACGTTGTCAATGTTATCAGTGGGAGAAGGGTTTTCTGCCTTGTGGCTAGAAATTCGTTCAGCACTGCAGTGATTCAGGTGATCAGTCAACTGAGCAGTTGAGAACGACGTAACAAAGCGACCACTTCCTAAACTGATAGAACTTCTATAAAATCTCAGTTTCTTGATCTATCTTCGCGAATTCTCAATAAACCTTACATAAATGTGGAGTGAGGACGTGGAAAGTTGCATCCCGTAGTAGATTTCGTTATAGATGGTGCTACTGTTGTTTTCATGTTATGGAAACATTTCGACACCGTATAAAGTGATGATAAGTCTCTTATCACTAAATGTTCCTTTCACAGCAAAGCGAACTGTGCGACGAAACCGGTAGTTGACTGGAACCGTATGTAACATCGCAGGCTGAATATCAGCTTTTCTTCGAATACGTATAATTCTTGAAGATAAAACATTGTTATAACTGGTTACGATTATGGACGAAAAAATGTCCTTTCATACCAGAGAGTTTCTCAACAGCTCGATTTTTCCATGTTAGTACATTTTCATAAACAATCGGCCTGGACTATTTTAAACGCTGTGGCCTTAAAAGCATTAAACAAAACACTTGTAGACCTCGATCTGTAGAATGTCCCGACATTAACATTTAACTTGGTTTAAAGGGCTCGAACCATTCTCTGATGAAGAGCGGAAAAGACATCAAAAGAAAGGCAGAAAAAACAAAAGACAAAAATATGGGAAAAATCTGAAGCCATCGGAGTAACCGATACCGTATCCCACTCAGAAGCACTGCTGGACAAGAATAGGGCCTTCACTATCTAGTTCTACAATACACGGCGATGACAATGACAGAGTTTTCTCTAAGAACATTTTCTCTCTACAGCCTTGCTCTCCAATTTTAGGGAAGCTACCACCTTTTTCTATTTCGAATTTGAACTTTTAGCGAGTAAATTATCTCGAACATTCATGTTCCAAACAGTTGTAAGAAATTGTAGGTACATCTCCTTGAAAATTTTATCACTCGTTATCGAAGGCTTTAGATTTGTCCTAATTAATCTAGCTAGCTAGATTAGGACAAAGGCATCTGTTGAATTAACCATATCCAAGTGGTTACCACTGTATCACAAAATTTTGTCGGTAGAATCCTATAGTCACTAACCTAACTTTCAGCGACCAAGTAAAACCGCTTGATGTTATCTAAACGGAGGCCATCGCTCAGTAATCGCACACCTGTAGTCTGCACCTATCAACCAAAGTGGAGACATGGTATATAAGAACTTTGACTGCTGTTTTTCTGCACCACGATGACACAACCCTTCAGTCATCTTCTTAACAATTCTGTTGGAAAAAAATAGACGAAGCGACTTTCTCGCCGTGTCGACGGTGAGTGGACACTGATTCCCATGCTATAAATGAAGTCATCACCTTACTGAGAAGTGTAAGTGTTGTATAAAGGGATAAAAGGATAAAGCTCTCAGCGTCGATCAACTCTTGATGGGTGCACCATTCATTCGACTTCATCAAGCATTGTCTGGAGATGACTCAATGCATATATCGCCTTTACAATGACTCAGTGACCCTACCGATGTATCGAGCCAGTGCTGCTATCCTCCCAGACAAGTCTGGCACCAATTTGTCCACCCCAGACGGATGGAAGGCTTGGTGGGCCATGGTCGCGGAGATTGATTCCATGTGTGTTGCAGGACGCCTCCGACTACTGCGCCACAAATGATGTATACATCGCTCAAAGAGTTAGAAGAGCTCCACGAGGCATACAGAACACCTGCCCAAATTTACAACCCAAAGTAGGTACTGTGTGTTCAAAATTCTAGAAAAAACAGATCCAAAACCAAGTATTAATACCTCATCCACATGATCAGAGGTATCGACGATCGGCGGCAAAACCTAAGAAATAAAGGCCGAAACTTGAAGACTGTAAAAACGTTCACCACCAAATTGGAAATATTCCCTCCCTCTTCATAAACTATGCTTCCATTGTTTGTATTAAAACGCCTAAGACATCTCTCTGCTATAATTTTGACCCTTTCACGCACTCTTTTCGTATTCTCTAACTCAGATTGTCCATCTTTTGTATGAACTACTCCCTCACTGCATTGATAAGTTTTCTGCATGAATGGAGCTTGTGTTCCATATATTGTATTTTCGTATCCATTTTATCTCGATAATCATAGAACACGTTGACCCAACTGCTTTGGATAAACTAATCGTTATCTAATCCGCCTCCGACCAACGAATCGACCACAACAGATAGTGCTAATCAGGAAAAAAAAACTCCGTAACCTCTCCTCGGGCAGTGGTCAAAACTATCCAGAAAGGAGTAACAACGTTTACAGAGACGTCTGTCCACCACACACGCTGTGGGATAACCATCCGCATTTGAAATCATCCATGCCTTCATGCCTAGCAAAAGTTAGCTGTAGGTACTCATTGTCTTACATCATCGATGAACTGCATATATTCTTTAATCGTCAGGAACACCCCATTCGTTTGTCATTCTCGCTATGTCGTCATTGCTGCACAGCATACATAGAGATTTAATTGTTCGCGTTTAACTTTTGTCACTGGGGTCACACATTACTAGTCCTTCATCGTTGAACTCAACAAAGCTAACTCTTCGTCACTGCTCATTGCTACTCTTTTATACAGATGTTGCCATTTGTTTACCATTCCACTTGACTTGTAAACTTTTGAGAGGTCAAACGAAGGGAAACAAAAATGATGCATATTGAAGCCAAGTGATATATACAGAAAAAGCACAAAGCTCTCAGGGTTGATCAATACCTGAAAGATGCGCCATGCATTCGACTTCATTAAGCATCGTTGGAGGTGACTGAATGCATATCTGATCTTTACAATGACTCACAGTGGCCTACCGATATATTCAGCAATGCTGCTATCCTTCCAGACAAGTTTGATATCAATTTGTTGCTCCCAAGGGATGGAAGGCTTGTTGAGCCTTAGTTACGTGGATCGTTCCGTTGGGTGGATCAATCCAACGTGTATTGCAGAGAGCTTCCGACCACTCCGCTACACGCGCCTGGTACATATATCCACGCAACTACACCTATTTTTTTCCTGTCCAGAATAACACTCCACAAAAACTGCATTGCTCTACCACATTGCTGAGACTAATACTGATTGTATTTACTTAAAATATATAATTTCACATCACATGAAATACAGGAATACATTGCAAACACTTAAACCATTAACATATTCACATGAACACGTAATTTAAGCTTTACAGGCAACAGGTACACGATCACGAAAAATCGTCAAGATTTTGAACTGTAGGAAAAGATATACACAGAAGTGAATCGGAAACTGGATTTTGAGATCACATTTCGCTCTCTCTGCACAAATTACGCCGCAACAAAAGCGGCGCATTTAAGCGAACAGGAGGAACACAATCAAGATAAAACTCATAACGTGGATAAAAATGGAGTATTAAGTTAACATTTACTTAGTTCACGAATTCATAACGTCGCAAACTCACATAGCATTATTGTTCTTGTTTCCTATAGAAGTCATGGAGTGACCTCGCAACATCCAGACACCCTCCAACGATATATCGCACAAAGTTATCACCAGCGAATGAGCCAACACGCATTAAAGTCGGATCCTCCTCCGAATGATATCCCGTGAACGTATACTTCCCGACTAATATCCCATCAAAGCCACTTACACGTCCAATGCATATGACCAACAATGAGCACTTCTCCTGAAAAAAAATATGGTAACACAAGTGCACAAAGTTTTCATGGAAAGAGTATAGTCCCGAATAATACTCATAAAGCGCCAAAATTCACCACAGTTTCGCACTGCAGTATAGCCGAAGGCAATTTTCCATTATGTTCTTGAAAGAATATCACGAATTAAGAAACAAATGAGGAAAAGTAAAGGAACGCGTGTAGCACAGTGGTTAGAGACGTCCTGCAATACACATGCCCGTCACGCCCCAGGTCCACTAAGCCCTCCACCTTTGCGGGATAGCTAAATTGATATCGGACTTGTCCAGGAGGATAGCAGCATTGGTTCGATACATTGGTAGGTCACCGTGAGTTATTGCAAAGGCCATACATGCATTTAATCATTTCGGACGATGCTCAATGCATCGAATGCATGACGCATCTCTGACGATTGATCAACGCCTAGAGCTTTATCTCTTATCCTTTCTATGAATAAAAGTATTCTTCCATATACACTAATATTATTAACGCTAATACTCACATATTGGTATCCTTTCGAAGTAGATATAGTGAGAACAGAGTTCTCATCAACACTAATGATCGATGAGGCATGTCTTTTCACATATAGTGGATGCGAATCTCTACCGATCATAAGGCGAAAAATCGAATGATACTCCAAGTAATGTAACGGTGAAAGACGCGACAGAACAGAATCTGAAAAAACATAAGTCAAAAAAAAATAACAGGTATGAGAGAAAAATGATCGGATAAAATTTACATACTTTGAATTTGACGTTCCGTTCTTCGCATAAGATGTAGTACCGGAACCTCATGTTCCAGGCATACTCGGACAGCATCCGCCGATGAAATCCCATCTCCAACCACAACAACGCGAACTCTGTAAACACAAGAGTTACGTTGTGTCTGGACGTCCTCTTGTTGGTAAGGTTACACTACAGCTAGGTGATTAGATTTCGAATGCTCACTGAAAAAACTGTACAATTGAAAAATGGCGATTAAGGCGTCCGAAGAAATTTTACCGATATTGGTTATCACAATTTCCGTTCCAAAAGAGAAAGATAGCCTATCCACTGAATGATTTTAAACTTGAAAATGTCTAGAAATACCAAAGAAATGCAAACAAAGAACCTTGTATCACTATTGCAGTCTTGTTGCGCTAACTGCGACCTCATGCTTAGAATATCGTAGACAATCGGGAGCGAATAGTTCTGTGTTGGAAGCTAAACATATCATAAATCTAGAAAAAGCTAAAGAGCAAATTAGAGTAGAAATCGGATGAAAAATAATATCGAAACTAAATAAAAGACGATAAATATGAATGTTGTGAGAAAACAGAAGAAATGAAAGACAAGAAAACACCTCGAGTGGCCGTTTTTTCATCAATCCACAGGCTAATATAACATGATTTGCAGTATAACTGAAGCTCATTCCATCGAGACGTTTTCCAGAAACAGTCCATACACCACCGGTTTTCTTAAAGTGCAGGAACGTATGAGTCTTATAAGTCTTGAGTTCGTACAAACAAAACCTAGCAAGATAACAAAGGTGCTGCAAACACATTCGGTTTGTTCAAATAATTTTTGATACCCGATTTTCTTACATTTAACTTATACTAACAGAGGTTTGAAGATTCATTACCTAGATAGCAATGCATATCGATACGAAACATCAGCAATTGACCCATGGTTCCCAAAAGTTTCAATTTAGTACTTAGATTCAAATGTGGCCTTGGGATGAAAACTATCCTATTTTCCTAATGAGAAAAAGGAACCTCATAGAAAACTAAAATGGTACACTTGTGCTTATTTGTGCTCGAACAATAAAATCTACTGCATAGTGCCAAACAGAACAGCACAGTCGTTACAGAAGAAAAAAACCTTTTGTAATAAAGCTAACAGAGTACGTATTCGTTTTTCTCGAATGATAGCGTTGCCTAATGAGTGTCACGGGCTCCAACACAGCAACGAGCATAGCACTGTTCGTATGAGACTCTTTCACTGTTTTGGAATCAAGCGTCCGTTGTGGAAGGTTAGGTATACTAATGGAGTCAAGTATTCAACAAAGTCCCGAAAAGAGCTATATCAAAGAGTTAAAACGTGGGGTTTTCTAGTCATGGAAACAGTGAAACACAATGTACTAAGAGCACTAACACCTATAAAGCACTTTAGGGCAGGGGGCATCGTTTCGATAACTCTACGGCCAAAACAAGGTTACTAGTACTTGACAATGGAATGGCCTAACTTATGCAAAATTATGTAGACTCAGCACAATTCCAGTTTGACCGTTCTTCTGTTCTATTCGGGTAAGAATTCATTTTCGGAGAAAGATGTATTCATATTACAGACTTCCTTCGTCGTTCCCACAGGCAGGCGCGGACCCCTGCAAATTAGAGGAGGGTTTGTAATTATCACCACTAGACTTCTTACTAGGAGAAGGCGATTCCTTGCACTAGTTTGCTCTAAGATGGACTTCCGAATTTAGTTTTTTTCAATCACTGAAATGGTTTGAATAACATTACCAAGCACCTTATATAAATCGATGTACGACAACCATAGTTATTCAAACATAAACACCTTAACGGCTCAAATTCTACATCTCTGAAACACAGCGAAGTTCCCTTCCTATTGTTGATGAATGAGCCTCGTAGACGTCACCATGGACAACGACTGCACGAGAGAGAAACAAATGGAAATTATGCTGAAGCCGCAGAAACAGTGAAGATGGGCAACCATTATCCGGGCAAATTTGTTGCTCCCTAACCAACAGCAATTGTGATGGCAGTTTGTGTGGGTGTGGGTGAATGTTGAGATTATTTTTCTCTCAACAATGTGTAAAACCTGGTTGATCCTGGTATCCCTTCGAAACCTGACAGAGTTGTGACAAGATGTTCCATCTTCACAACAGAAAGTTTCCAGCCGCTGCGAATCGAATGTAAGTTTGCGCTTCGTGAATATCAACGGTACTAGGCACTAGCAACTAACACGACGCAGCGATTGTGGCAATTAGTTGACGAAAGACCGACTGAGAATGAAATGTCAACCAGAATAACTATGGTTACGAATAACTGAAGACCACAACACTCATAACTTGATAACTACAACGATGCTGAGATATTTACAAAACTCCGGACAGGTGTCTGCGGTGGAGATCGAACTCGCTATTATTCTTTCGGGAAACCAACATGTTCACCACCACACCATGCGAGTCCTTCGTTTCGCATTTCCTTCAGCTTTGTTTTAAGCTATGGTACATTCAGTCACTACCTGTGAACGGGACTGTTTCATATCATAATCTGCTAGAAAAGTGACTACGAAATCTAGCATTAATTCGGTTTATTATTAAGTTTACATTCAATTCCATCATGAAAATGTTTTCATTTTCGAATTATGACTTCACAGGCCATCTGCATCCTTCTGTGATTCATACTCTTCTCAAGATTTCCAATCGGAATGAAAATCAAGGAGATCGATTTACTGCTCAGCAAATTTTAACAGCTTATCTCACTCCTCAGCGGCTAAGTCGGTTCAACTTATACCAAGAAGAAAAAACCGTGTAAAACGCACGTGTGATAAGGACGGCCTTTTGTGTTGGAAAAATTTTATACAACCAAATTAAAAAAAGGTAAAACACACCTTTATAGAGGTAATCCTCGTATGAGGAATGATAGTTTTCGAAAGACCCATCTCCTTTGCATAGTACTTCATGTAATGAACCACTGCGACTGATGGAAGTCTTAAAAGAAGGAAACTCGAACAAATATTCGTCATACAAGATGTTATACCAATAGAGGTTCTACGTGGTGACTTTTCATCGCAAGCCATTAATCTTCGATGGTATTGCGAAAAAAAAAAAGTGTACACAACGATAAAGATAACCTTGAAATCAACGGTGTACCCTGAAGCCAGTCCGAAATAGAAAGCCCCGGTAAATCAAGCCATGAGGAAGACGATAACGCAATCATCTGAAATGTTAAAGTCCTCCGATATGTATGGAAATTAAAAAATGGGTTCAGAAATAAATTTCACCCATAGGATTCACATCGGACAGAAAATCCGTGAATGGGTTCTGGAAGTATTTTGAAACCGAGCGGATGACTGCATAAAGAAAGCGACTCTGCCCGCTAACTTATATGTTCTACATTCCAGCAGCCAAACAACCAATCAGTTTCAAACATAGTCTTCCTGAAGTTTGACCACCGAAAGCCTAGAACCGATTCGAAGAACAAACTTCCGGATCGTAATTGTTCCAGCTTCCACCCACTGCCGTCTCTCCCAGAACAAGATGAGGGATTTGGCGTCTTTCATCTGTTTGCCAAAGCAACCGTGACGATATTTGCGCGCCCACATCAGCTCCTGGTCGAACGAGTGAATCGTAGAGTGTGGAGAGTGGCCGCGATGAGCCACCCAGAAACTCGATGGTCTCACACCATTTCAGATCCTGAAATTCAACGAAGAATTTTCTCGTTTCGGTTCATAGACTCTTACATTGTGTAGATTTCGTGATCAGATTTGGAAGACAAACATCCCCATTATAAAACCGGTTTATATGCAAAAATCCATAAAAATTTAAAGCGCAAACATCGGCTGGTGTTTGTCTGTATTTATTTATTCACCAATTCTTTTAAAAAATCGAGTGAAAGAACAAGGTGAGTTGAAGGGGCAATTTCCTGATGAAAATGCGATATGGACAGAATGCATGGTATAAGACTAAAACGTAATAGAGTGGATAGCACATTGGTAATGATTCCGATCATCAAAATCATGGTGCTGATTCAATCCAGCTCCAAGCTCATGAAATCCCCCATCTCTCCTGGGTCAAGGAAATCGTACCCGACATGTCCGGAAAAAACCACTTTTTAAAACGTAACATACCAACAAATAGTAGAAGAACCCACTGGGGTAACCCCATTAGCACGTTTTCTTTTGATTTTCATTTTTGTGAGTCATAAAATTCCTAAGTGGAAAATCGTTTCTAAGGATTTCAACAAAAGGAGAAGGACGAAAATAAAAAAGAACTGCTTAGCAAACATTCTTTTGGCTTCCTTTAAACGTTTTGGAAGAAATAATATTTCAATAGACCTGAGGAAAACTTTGGCTAGGCTGACCTCGGTACTCCAGCAAGCCACAATGGCTAAACCAGCAAAAATCCGAAATGGAAATATTGCTGGGGTCCGCACAACCAGCCATCTAAGTATTAAAGTAGGTAATATTTCGATTAAGAATGCCAATTTAGTACAGTCTTACGACTTTACACTGAAAAATAACTAAAGCACAAGCAACAGCTGTTCTTTGCCAACGAAACAACAACATAGTTCGTTAGAGAAATCCTCGTTAACAGCAAATTTAAAGTCATACAGTCATAAAAGTATACTGAACTGAACTTAGTGGAAAGCAAAGACAACAGAGATGAAAAAGGACAAAGCTCCCAGCGCTGACTAATCGCTGAAAGATGAACCATGCATTCAACTTCACTGAGCTGATCATCGTTTGGAGCTGACTGAATGCATATCTGGCCTTTAAAAAGACTCGCGGTGGCCTACCGATATATTGAGCCAGTGCTGCTATCCTCCCAGACAATTCTGGTACCAATTTGCCGACCCCGCAGGGACGGAGAGCTTGGTGAGACAGGAGCATGGGATCGGTCCCATGTGTATTACAGGACGCCTCCGACGATTGCGCTACACGTGTCCCTAAGCAAAGACATAGTACACCTTCTATGACTGTATAACTTGGTATTACCTTATCTTTTGCCAAACACTACCCAATCCTTCCGTATTGTAAGTACACAATTTGAACCACGACTCTTGGAAAGGTGGGTTCACTTAGTCCTCGATCTAGGACACTCGCAAAAGTTCAAGATAACCAATCACTAGCGATGCAATATTGTTTTTTCTTTATCAGGTATTTGTCATCACTATGACAACGCAGTCGAAATCGAAAACCATTCCACGGCCTTTAGTGCCATTCCAGAGCGATCCGACTAATTGAAAAACGAGAGATTGTAACAAATTGTAACGCTCTGGGTAATTTTAGAGTATTGTTCGACAAAAACAAGGACCTAAATGGAATACGAGAGAACCTGTGAAAGAATTTCAATTATATTTACCTTTCAATAACACTGACTTAGGAAAAAATAAACCTCTTCGATGTTGAAACTTCAGACATAAAACTGTGTGGTAAACATTATAGAGTGTGTTTCCGTACTTGCTTGAATACTTGGATGGCCCGTCCTCAGTGGTTGTGCGGGCCCCAGCATAAACTCCACCTTTTCGGAGCTTTGTTGATTAAGCTGCTGTGGTTCCCTGGAGACCCGAAGACAGTTTAGCCAAAGTCTGCTCCAGGTGGTAACCAACACATGCAGATACCGCCTTTGTGGATCACAGGAAGCTTTGCTACCATCCGACTAGTTTGAAACCAGGACGGTGGTGGATCCTGGTATTGGTTTACTCTTAGCTGAGGTTCCTGATGTAAACGCCGGACTCGTTTTCTCAAGTTGGGAGACCTGCTGGCGGGATGAATCTCCCGCTGTATATCGCAACTCGACACCCAGGAACGCTTCCCAGCCACGATAACGCGGCAAACGGTTGGGAGGAGTGCGCATATATATATATATATATATATGTATATGTATATATATATATATATATATATATACAAACATATAATATGCAATATGGGGCAAACTTTGGCCAGGATGACCTCGGGTTTCCAGGGAACCACAATGGCTTAACCAGCAAATTTTCGAGGAGATTATGTTGGGGCCTGCACAACCTGTGAGGACGGGCCATTCAAGTATCAAGTACCAAGTAAGTAATATATAATACATATATATGTATATGTGTCCATAAGCTATGAGCTTAAATCATTGTTTGAATTTATTCACGTGCATCCCACGGCGTGTTACATACCGTAACTGAACAGGTACGCGAAACATTGCGCAATTCACCAGATAAAAAAATTGGATGAAGAACGATAAAAAGAGGAATGTCCGTCAGATTTCACCAGACAGAAAGTTCAGACAAACGACAATCGGTTAAAGATCACTTGCCGAATGATGAAACAGATAAGTGGCTAGAAAAACGGGGTCCTGATAATAAGAACGGGTCCGATTGCGTAACATTGTGACGTGAGAAAAAGAAACAAACCTGATCGATGAGTGATTGGCGAAGATTCTCCCTCAGTTTTTCGTCTACAGTCGGATCTGGATGTGGGGCATTTGGATTGTAGTATGGAAGAACACCGGAAAGAAATGCCGATAACGCTAGCCCGGCTGGTCCATTACCTGAACGGTGGCAATCCTGAAGGCATACTAAGTTTGAGTAAAGTATAAAAAACTATCAAGATCACCCAATGATTTTTGTTGTCACAGTGAGTATGGGAAGTCGAGCAATTGAAAGCTTTTGTTTGTATACCAAGTTTTTGCCTCTTCTGGTTAATGCACAACCCTAGGGGTTGCTCTTCCGACCATAAGCAGCCCAGGTTTCGTTCGTTCTTTGTTCTTTCCATTAAGAAAGGAGTGCTCTAAGCACCAAAACGCCTAGTAAATTGGGCCTTAGCTTCTCTAGGGACAAATGCCAGACGCTATGTTAAGAAATGATTACCACTCTGTTCACTTTTTATCCCAAAAAGTAAAGGATTTCGCAACAATTCAATCGTATCACGTCGACCGGCTTAGTCATAAGTATTGATTCGGCAATATTTGTAAAATAAAACAAAAAAAGTGCGCTAGGACAGCCGGTTTCCGATTTGGCACCGCTGATACGCAAGTTTGAAAATCCAAGAGCGAATTTCACTAAGTGTTAAATAAAAGCGAAAATAAAGAAGATGATTTGTATGGTAGAAAAACTGCAAATGGACGATGAGACCACAGAAAAATGGCGGGAAAATGAAAAATACGAAAACGACGACCAAATGAATCACCTACTGGTTAGTACTGAATACTCACAATCATACCCTTCCTCATACTTTATTCATACTTTTACTCATAATACACTTTCTTCCGGCTTACCTACAATGATTACAGGAACGTCGGCCTCTTCGCTTGTGCCCATGCCGCGTAGTGTTCGGTAAGTGGGCGGGTCGGCCGCAGTGGACGGGACGAGAAGGGATGCGAGGGACGGACAGGCGGAGTGGAGGGCACATCGATCGTCCGCCTCACTGCATCGGTGACGACTCGGACCGGCTGGACAGCCGGAAGAGGAAATCCGGAAGAGTCAAGGAGAGGGTGACATGTTGGAGTGGATTCCGGGAGAGTTCAGTATTCGGAAGCTCGCGAACTGAATGGATTCGAAGAATTTCACGTAAAAGTGACTTGTTCGCTTTTGTTGACCAACGGGCAGTTAAGAACTGAGTGAAAGTTTACAGGTTTCAATTCTTTTTATGCGGCTAACCTGTGGAAGAAAAAACTCCATGGTAGTAGAAATTGGATGACGTCATTATTACACTATGTTCAGCCCACAACGGACGATATGTGCACTGTAATGTACACATTCAATTCGGTGAAATCGAGGACTTTGCAACCACACTATTTATAGCTAATCGATAGCCAACCGATAGCTTATGGAAGCAGATCAAAGTATGAGGGATGAGACAAGAAAAAGCGTTCTCTGCATTTAATCACTTGCAAAAAACCTTTTTCGGACAGGTTTATTGGCCGGTAATTTGATTAACAACTAACTGCTGTTTCACTTTAATAAAGAATAAAGCTCTCGGCGTTGATCAATCCCTAAGAGATGCGCCATGCATTCTCGACTAAACATCGTTTGGAGGTGGTTGAATGCATATCTGGCCTTTACAATAACTCGCGGTGGCCTACCGATGTGTCGAGCCAGTGCTGCTATCCTCCCAGACAAGCCTGCTACCAATTTCCCGATCCCGGAGGAATGGGACGCTTGGGCACTGGGATCGATTCCGCGTGTGTTGCAGCGCGCATCCAATCACTGCGCCACACGCGCTCTTACATTTTATATACAGGTTTAAAAAATACCGAAATAGACTAAACATAAGCTGCAGAACTCTCCAAATGCTGACATCAATATTTCGAAACCGACTTTCCTTGAACTTCGGTATCACTAATCAATATGTATTCTTTCTTTGATGAGCTTACACGAGGTTGATAATGATATTTATTTTCGGTTAACATTTCGACGTCTTTGTCTTCCTCAGAGCCGATGATCCGAGTCGATGGCCCACGTTTGTTATTCGTCACGACGTGGCAGCTTCGCCTTCGTGTCGAGTCAGGTCTTCCTCAGTGAGCCATCTCCTCGAATGAGGCATCTTCATTCAGTGATGCCCTTTTATGCAGGTTGATGATGGTGGACAGCTGTGATTGTCCGGTGATAGTGACATTAGTACACTTTTTACTAGCTGATAATAACACCGACTTCTGCAGGTTTGATTGTCGGGGAAAAACAAGTTATTATCACAGGGCATCACTAAGTGAGGATACCTCATTCGAGGAGATGGCTCACTGAGGAATACCTGACTCGAAGGCGAAGCCGCCACATCGAGACGAATAACAAGCGTGTACCATCGGCTCGGATCATCGGCTCTGAGGTAGACGAAGATGTCGAAACGTTAGCCGAAAATAAATATCATTAGCAACCTCGTGTAAACTCGAAGAAAGAATACATGCTGACATCAATGTTTGCATGATGGGCCATAACAGCAGGTAGTAATAGCATTCATACCTATAGAAGTGTGAGCAAGGTCTCTTCTACTATTTCGTCATGTTCATAGCCCTCTACGTTGTTTAGTTCTTAAAAAATTATTATTTGCCGTAAAAGAACCAGCAAGCCCGTAATGGCTGAAAATTAGGCGTGGTCCGAAGCGGCGACAGCAAGATTTAGTCACCGTCACCAGTCGGGAAGACTTTGGCTAGGCTGACTTCGGGGCTTCAGGGAACGACAACGACTAAATCAACAAAACTCTGGAAAGATGGCGTTTATGACTGCGACTGCCTGTAGCGGTGACGACTTGGGAAAGACTTTGACTTGTCGATAACGTTTGAAAAATCTGGGGCCTAATTTGAATAAAATTAATGACTTTGGTGCTTTTGATAAATAACACTATATTTCGGGCTTTTCGTTGTTTTCATGCGGCCGTGCTGGTCGTTTCGAGCCGTTGTTGCAGTGAATACATTATCTTAGAGAAACGAAATTACACGCATGGTATCGAGAAAAAGTTTCATTTCCATTTTTTACGACGCACAGACCTATTTAAAGATAATTGATAATTCCTTGGATTTTTAAGCCAACACGAGGTTGACGGAAAAAGGTTGAATGATGGTGGGCCTGAAAAATATTAGTTAAGATGTTTCAAAAACCGACTTTCCTTTAACCTTGGCTAGGCTAGTCAATATATATTCTTCCATTGATAAGCTAAAACGAGATCAATGAAAAACTCCATTCGGGTGAGGGTGAGATTTCGGTACATTCGCTTTCGTCAGAACCAGATTGATTCGAGTCGGTCGTCCACACTTCTTCCTTTTTTCCATGTGAAATTTGATGATGAAGGATCAGGCCAAAATTGAGAGCAACACCTCCTTGTTACAGTGATTATCACAGCTTTAGGTAAGATTCACTTTTTTTCAGGTGTTTTCAGAGAAGAATCTTGGTTTTGCCTTCGAAGATATTTATTGACGCTTCGTTTTCAGATCGTGTTTCACAGGTTTGTGTCCATATTATTTGTTATTCCGAACTCGCGACAGACGGCTCTGAGGAAGGCGAAATCGCTGAAATGTCAGCCGTCAGCCAGCAACAACAATAACAACAACGACAACACAACAACGACAACAACAACGACAGCAATAACTTATAGCAATCTCGCAGTAGCTTAACGAGGGCAGTTCATGGCAGCGGCTAATAAACACATCGATTATTTATGCCGAGGTTTACAGAAACTCGGTCCTTTGAGTTATTTCAGTGGTTATTGATGCAGTTTATCAGGAAACAGGGTTTTGATTCGACCCCGTACCCTCTTCCTCTTTAACACTCTCATCCAATTCACGTGAGAATGCTTTAGCTCGGTTATCTCCAAGACTGCAAGGAGAATCGACCTGATCAGCATTCTACAACACTTATGAGGAAGTCTAAGTTCTCAAGCAACAGAGGAAATAACACGCGAAATTTTTGACGACCATTATGGAAGATGAATTGGAGGAAAACGATTCGAATGCAAAAAGTGCCGAGATCCGCACAGTAGGTGTGCTGGCGGATTATGTAAAATAAAAAAGATAAAAAAATTTTTGCCATTTTGGTGCACGAGGTCCGAAGTGTTCCTCTCATCCAATTGCTAAGTTCCTGGAACAAGAATCCATTTTACTCAAGTACTCTCCTTTTTTAGTGTAGACATTTAACCACAACGTTTCTGAGACATTTGCAAAGCTCTGGACTGCAGGTGTCTATGGTGGGGAACGAACGCGCTATTGTCACTTCCGGGGAGTAACGCGTTCACCACCACACCATGCGGGTCCTTCGTTTCGCCTGTTTCTCAGCCTGGCACCTGCGGTCCAGAGTTTTGCAAATATCTCAACAACGTTGTGGTTGTATTTCGCTTAGTACTCTGCCGTGAAAATTGTAGTGGACAGAAAATAAAAGGTAAAGCATTGTAGAGATTTAGCTAGCATTTCTATCTTTTCTTGTGATTTATAGCTTTATCACTGTTCTGTCTGCTCCTTGGTGTATAAGTGCAATCAAATGAAAAACTCGACACCCGTGCAACCAGCAACCATCATGCCTGAGGAGTAATGGAGTAATTCGACGCTTTCGTCCGAAAGCTTAGCTGAGTGTAAACCAATATCAGGAATCGCCGCTGTCCAAGAAGATATCTAGTCGCAGAGTGGGAGATATCACTGCAAGCGACTTGGAATCTAGCAAGGTGCCTTGGATTTCAGCAAAAAAGCAAATCGCTCAGCACCAATCGTTAGTATTGTTGCAATACCAAATGTCTTAAACCCTTTCTGTTAACAGCAATAAGCATTCCTAACGAGTGATTCACACATATAACGGAGAAATAATGACAGTATAAGAAATTGTTTGAGATCGATCAACAAAAGCTTGCACGACAAGAAGAATTAATAACATATTCCAAAATGAATACTGTAGAAGTAGTAAAACACGAAATGAACGACATCTTACCACTTATACTTATTGGAATTTCTGACAACCGACTACCACTTATTTCATGCACCTCGAGAACTATGGGTGACGATCATCGACAACCACGGTGATACCTAGAAGACCTTCGATGAAACCATCGCTCTCGCAAGTTCAAGATGCTAGCAGAATAAATAATCTTGTATCTTCTCAGCAAAAATGTAAAGATTCTAAAACGTGTCAACCCGATAAATAAAGTTGTGTCCGACCTAGGTTGCAGCGTTTCAAAGTTTACGGCTGAAAAGCTTGTTATTTCGGTTCATTCGCTCTAAACGGTCTTCTCTAGCAGAAGTTCTACTTAGCACCTGAGCGAGGAATCATACAGGCCCAAGTAAACATTCCACTTCACTGGTATGTTGGTATTCGTTTTCCTCCAAGCATCACTAAAGGAATTTACATGGAATGGAAGTTCTTGCAATTTAAGCACAACACATAAACTCCAAATAACAGTTCATCTTCATGACTGATGTCATAGACGTGTTCTATGTGGGAAAGTCACATGACAGAAGTAATACTTATTGGAGTAAAGCGAGAAAAAGGTAAAAAGTTAAAGACCTTGAATTTCCACAAATTTCTAGTGGTACTCTTCTCACTGAGAGACTTCTTTAAAG